ACCTCACCTTCGCGAATCCCTCTTCGAATGATATGCTGTGGGTACCCATTCGAAATCAGTGTGTTTTTTAGATGTTCGATTTCGTTCTTGATCAGTTCCTGGTTAGAGCATATACGATGAATTCTAATCACAAAAGTTTTTATTAGTCCTAACTTGTACTGTCTATTCTGTGATGAGTACGAACTGATGAATTTAAAGAAAGAAACGTGCAGCTATGCCAACTTCAAGTTCTCCTTGAGTTATTTTTCTTTTTCTTCTTTTTCTGTTCTATCCCTCTTATCTATTCGCTTCTTTTTATACCATCGTTTGTTCGAATGTCTATTACATTCCGGATGAAACGTATTTGATTTGATATCGGGATGAAATAAATCGATGGCATGTTGATTTTGATCTGACTGGTCATAAAGACAGAAGATAATTTTGTGATTGAATGGCCATTTGAGAATACCATCATACTCTCCTTTCATCAGAACGAAGAATCGTGACATGTGTGAGCACTACCGTTCCCATGCAGATAGAGACAAGCTCACATTTTGTAACCAGTGGATGATGAATAGAAAAGTGGTGAACAGATACTCTTTTGTCGCACAATCTGTGCATCTATCCTTTTATCCGAGAGTTATTTTCCACATTAATGAACCATCATTAGAGATGGACTCAAAAGAATTAACCTTTTCTTTGATGCTTAATAATTCGTGCTGAAATATTTCCTGGTTGAGATCTGTTCCAGCTAGATACGTTTCCTTCTCCGTCATAAATACTTTTGTTTGATCAACTTCCTGGAACAAACACTGTACTTTCTGGTTGTTTCTCAGTAACTCTATATTCAATCGAATCGAATCCTGCTTTAGGATTTCCATGCTCTGTGTCAAACTGGTTAGTATTTCGTGACATTTTTGTAGTTCACCGTACAAATGAATAGTTGATAGTCTTGATATCTGTTCAATTCTACTCATTTCCATTGCGTTAGAGTGCATTGAAACGTTTATTTCTTACATGGCTTGAAATGGAGAACAGAGCACGAGTAGAGATAAAACTGTAAAACGCTGATGTGACTCAGCCAAATAATGATTTCTTATTTGTGATCGCATTAAAAGAGGTTCTCGTAACTCACTGAAATTTTTAAGTTAATCTACAACTCTCAGAAGAGCAGAAAAAGAACGCCTTTTTATCAACCAATAAAAAAAAATAAAATAGGCAAAAATCACGTAGATTATGTCGACACCAGAAAAGAAGTCAAAGTAGAATTATAAGGAACCCGCTGTCGGATTCACTGAAAAATTTTGCACATAGCGCCCAATTTTTACCTAATTTCGTGCAGCGCGGCAAAAGTACCTAATTTTCTAATGAGGAGCTAATGTATGTCTTTGTTTTGTTGATACCATACTATAGAAATGATCCCTAAAAGTATGATTCAGCATCAACTGCTTCTTGGGATGTCAATGATTCACTGCAAGTAGATTCATTGCGAACAGAAGCAGAAACCATGACTGAATTAGCTCTTTGTCGCCGTTTAATTTCTTGTTCGATCATTTGTTCTTGAATAGCATGGGGCAGTCTAAGATTCAAATTGAAAGTGTAGGGTGCGATCATTTTTGGCATATCAGCAAAATCGACAGTAACTTTGATAAACATTGTATCATCTTTCACATAATTATTATTGTTGAATATCACATTCGTTTTGATTTTTTCATTTTTAGCATTTTCGGTAAGTTCAGCTAATGCACTCATGAGCTTTGCATATTCATCCAAATACAACGTTTTCCCGAACTTCTCTTCTACTCGCGTTTTTAATTTTTCATATTCTTGGTCATGTTTCATTTCAGCGTACATTAACAATTCTTTCCCATTTGAAAATCTATACATGGAACATAAGTACACTGGTAAATTTTTCTCAATAAACCAACGTTGAATATCGTCCTGTGACCATGTATCGATAGTTCTCGTGTCAAACTGACTCATTAAATTTTCAGCTGCACTAATAAATTTTGCAAAATGATCAAGGTAAAAAGCATCACTATTCAAACGTTTAGATAAAGTATTATATTCTTGACTCAGTTTTGACTTGTCACTTAAAACTAATTTTGTATAAGCCAACAATGCATCACCATTCGAAAAAGAATATAAGTCGCACAGAGCTGGAGACAGTTTTTCATGAAGAAACCATTGTTTTACATCGTCCGATGTCCAGTCATGGATGGATTTTTGATAAAAATGCGGTGATACTGATGGAAACCGAAATTTCATTTGAACATTTGGTGTCAATGGCTCTGGTGCATCTGATACTGCTTCCGTTTCAGGATAAAAGTTACTCACTCTATCTTTCGTCGGATCGATAGATAGCTGTCGTTCATTAATAAAAATTAATTCAAATAGTTTACCAAGTGATTCATCATATGTATCTTCGTTAAATCTTACATATGTAGCATTCCCAATTCGAATATCTAACCACTCCTCGGGTTTATACCTGGAAAGGTATATTGGTATTATGTTTTTGCTTCGTCTATCAATGTGAGTTGCTTCTCGCCGACATGATTTTGATGCACAATAATGTTCTGTTACAATCATGATAATAAGTTTTGCTTGTGTAATGGCATTTGCAATATCTTCCCAACAATCGTTTGATTCAAGTTTTTCATAATCGACCCATACATCATCTATTTTATCTTTTAAACTTGAAACGAGTCTTTTACAAAATGTTGCATCAGAATGTGAATAGGATACCATCACACTCATTTCCGTATCATTTTCATCAGGCGGAATTTCAGGTGTTAATAGATCTAGACCAGTATCGAGATTAGATAAAATACCTTTTGCTGCATTTTTTATTTCTGAAATACGATTTGAAACTGGTTCGGCAACAGATGCCGATGTATTGTGTAAACCAATCTTAACGGCCAATCGTTTAGCCATACTGGCGAGTCGAATAACACTTGGTTGATAAGCAGCTTCTTTAACTATTTTAACAAAGTCTTCATTTGCTGATAGTTTTTCCTGCCAGTCCTTCTGAAAGCTAAAACTCCAAAATATGTTGAATAATGTTGAACAAACTAATTCCCACAAATCCACAATAGATTTATCTTCAACAATCATCGTAGTGTATTCAATAAACTTTTTCATAAAAAAGTCAAATGCATTCTCATTATTAACTTTAACACTGTTTAGAATATACTGAGTACATTTGTCATTAATGGCAAGTTTTGACAATGCGGTAAGAAATTCTGTAACGTGACATTGAGAAGTTCTAAGCTTTGGTGAATTAAACGCTTCATTTATCTTATTAATTATATAATTAATGACAGTGTACATAGAGGCATCACCATGATTTTTTAACTCCTCTGGGTCTAACAATGACGCGTAAGTCATATAGTATAGGGCTAATATATCTTCGTGTTTTTTGGTTATTGTTGACGAATATTTTGATTTAAAGTCATTTAAGATGCTAATAGCATTTAGCCTATTTAACGCTTGTGCACCCAAAGGATTCCGAGCTGTGTTGGACACTAATGATATTAACCGAAGCCAAATTTCATAACTATGTTTATCTAAATCATCTGATGCTATCCACTTTAATATTGCTTGTGGATAATTAGCTTCAACAAAATACGGTACCAAACTAGATTTATCGGTTAAATTTTGAAGTAATTTGATAACATACTGAATTGCAAAATACGATTTATTCGGTTCTATTGTTGAACTTGAAAAGTAATTATCAATGTACGGTATGACAGCATTTAACAGTGTTCGATGAGTATCGTCAAAAAAACTGTTTTCATTTGAGTCTGATACGAACATTGAATAGGACTGAGTTGCTATGTTATGAAGGGCTCGTGAAGCTAGAGCACTAATGAGTTTTAAAAATAGTTCGAACACAAATCGAGCATTATCATTAAATTGTTCTTGATTATTTAGATAGTCTATATTTGGATGAGAATCCAGGTATTCTATAGCTATTTCAAAGTATCGATCATTTGCGTCGGAATGTAATTCCATGTCGATAAATAATTGTTTTTGAAGTATCTCAAGAATCGTCGTTATTAGCGATGAATTTGGTGCAAGTTTTTCTATAATTTGTCGTATTATATTTATTTCGGTTGCTTCCAGCGAAACTAAGATAGATTTTCTGGTTAATACATCAAGTAGAGATGAATCATCGTCAATATTGCCTAACTGACTGTTTAAATCGCTAAGAAGGTTACTCAGATACTGGATGGATCCCAAACTGTATTCTTCAGTTAACAAACCTTTGATTTGAAGAATAAGTTCTAAAATAGTATCTCTCTGCACGATTGGATTCGATGTAGATTCAATTTCAGCCATTTTACTAATTCTCTAATCTGAAAACAATCAACACGCATCAAATATAAGACAGAGTACTAGGTCTACTATCCATTCTCTATATCTCTTGGATCTCCATATACCCCAAACTTTAGGTCGGGAAAGTAATGGGAACATAGATTGTCGACCACATAAGTTCTCATGGCAAGGACGGATGTCCCAAAGTTCAATAATTTTGTGAAACATCCTATTCTTGGCTCTTTTCACCAAAAACGAAAACATTCATAACTCACACTCGTCAGTCAGTATCGATCAAAACCAAATGAGAATATCATACACTCTATTTACTTACACTACATTATGAAGTGCAGTAAACAGAGTAAAAATTCACAGAGTGTACATTAGTTTTTGGAAAGCTTATCTAGAAATGTTTCGAAGTAAGAGAATATGTTTATTGATCTTAAGTACACAATCAGATTGAATGAATAAAGTAGAGTATATCTTGATGTTGTGAAGTAGATATTGTAATCGACTCTGACCGAGTTATTCTTGATGAAAAGAGCTAAGAATAGAATATTTCAAAACTTGTTAAACATTTCACAATTTGTTGAACTTTGGTCTGACAACCATCCCTTTCACAAGACTTAATGTGATCCATACTCTATGTTTCCATCACTTTTACCTGTTTCCTGATCTAAAGTTTGGGACATATGACGGTCGTCGCAGTATTCCTGGTATACCTCGACAATGATGGATAGAGATTTACGACTTACATAGAAATACAGAGGAGAGTGGGATGGTTCGAGTCAACTTGTAAGACTTAAAAACCAATGCTTTTTTGGTGTTCTGTAAGCTCGGTGACTTTGTCTGATGAGATGCATTGCAGTCAACTGCCAACTTTAACGTAAAATCTTCTCTATCAAAACAGCTTTTTATTGGAATAATATTCAAAACTCATGCGCGGTTACTCTATTGTAAAATGGATACATAGTTCACTATAGCTAAATAGCCCTAGAATATCAAACGATATTATTCTGAACATCTTGCAAGCGGCAAAATCAGAATCCAAATATAATTTTAAAAGTACTAACCTCTTTATGTTTATTGAAAGAACATTCCATACAATTCATCGACTCTTCTGTAAACTGAGTGTTATCGACCTTACCAGCTTTTCAGCATAATCGCAAATTGTCTTCGCGAAGAAATGTTATCAGATAACTCTTTCTCACATTTTGAGCTCTTCGCTACCCTAAGCGATGAGATGTTAAGAAAGGTTCTGTTTTTGAGAAGCCAAATATTCTAAATATAAACAATGTGTCGAAATGTGGGATTGTTTTGGGGATATGATTCATTATTTTAGCATTTCGCTATTCGTCTGCAATCTCTTCGTGTTTTAAAAGGAAGCTTAGTCAAATTACGTATTGGAAATAATTCATGTGCGCGAAAGTCCTGTGCCCATTTCTAGTTATATGCTTCTATTATCTTTTCTGCTTATATTGTTTTATCTGATTCTTATTAAACTATGCTGAAGAAAAATGCAATTTTTAGAATAATTATCCGTCAGACTCAAACGATTGATTTATATTTGTTTTGACTTCTCATCAAACAGCCTTTAGAAAACTAAGCTCTTAACAAGTCTGACTATATCAACTAGATGATGTTTACTCAGTGTATATTTTTCGCATGTTAACCTATATAGAACAGAGAGTCAGTGCTTGCTAAGCACTGGAAAGTGCGACTACAGTACAGCTACCGGTGACTTTCAGTGTATTGTTTTCATATTTATACAGTTTATTTTTTACAGTACTTACAAACCCTCGCAAGTTGAGAAAATTTTAGATTCTTCTCGATTGATAGAATTATCATGATCATGTTATATGCGTGATTAATCGAGCGTAACCGACTAGAGAAAGACTGCATAATTATATATGAAAATGACGAAACACTTACAAACAAAATTATCGCCGTAAATAATAAAGAAAAAAGAAGCACAAAAATGATGAAGAAGAACAGACTTATTCTTCGCAAAAGCGTTTGGACGGTAATTTATCGATAGAGAAGAAACTGAATCGGCCTAAGCTAAATTCTTGTCCGCACGCATAAAACGTTCAAAAACCGAAAGAGATTTTTATCGAAGCTGAAACATACTAGTTCGTCATCGCACACCTTTAAATAGGTTCAGTGACTTAGAAGTGCTAATTAGGTGTAGAAAAATATACTTCGGCTATAAACAAAAAAACTGCCCAAGCATAAAAAAATAAGCTAGTAGCGTCCACTGCAGCTAGCTGTACTAGCTTCATAACCTGTTCCAACTAGCCATAAAAAAATATAAAAATATAGAAGCGAGTTAGCGGGCGCTGCGGGTAACTACGCTGGTTTCGATACCGGCTGCAGCTAGCTGCATAAACGTACACACCATGGAGCGGGCGGCATAGCGGCCACTTAAGAGAAGCTTCGGCACAACGCCGACCATGCTATTCGAAGGAAAATTTTATTTTGTTTTTATTTATGTCTCATTAGAAAGAGCATACAAAATAACCACTAACCTTGCAATAACTCTTTCTGAAAGTGCTTTTTTTTAAAAAATAGAGGCTAAACATAATATTCTGATGAGGGACGCTCCTGTTACCAAAAAGCGTGAATTTTCACAAATTTTCGTATTTTCAGATTTTCTGAAAAACTATCAAAACTCCTATAATTCCTTCGTGTCTCATTTAAAAGAGAAATGTTTACTCTATAAGATCATTTTTCTGATTACTTTCTAAATACAGGCCATGCGTATGGCGGTCCCAAACTAAATCTTACTTCATTTTTTAGAGTAGGCAATTCTACATCGATTTATATGTAATGGAAAGTTTTAAAACACTAGGGTGATGTACGGTAAATCAAATATTGGAGAAAGGCATAGATTTTATCATTTTCTTATCTAAATTTTGATACAAATCTCAAAGATCTGAACGTACAAGCTATTTTTGCGTTATCACAGATGTAGAGCAAACATTTTTCTATAAAATGAGACGTCGGCAACCTCTTTGAGATGGCTTTAATAAATACATATTTTATAGATTAATCTACTGTTATGGGTTGTTTGAAGGGTTTTTGGTCGTTTTTAGACTATTTTCATAAACCAAAAAAGGTTTGTGGTCGTTTCAGAATGAAAAACCCTTTTCCGGTTTTTGATCTACCCACATTTTTACAGTATATCCTATGCCTGACGACCTGAGAACCTGAAGGTAATACCGTATGTATGATATAAACGACGATGTGAGAACTGGAAGGTAATACCCTATATATTTTATTATTGACGACTTGAGGACTGGAAGATAATACCGTATGTATGATATGAATTACGATAGTATATATACACATCTATATCTGTCTGTCTATTTCGACGTCATCCTAGGTTAGGTCGAGTCAGATTATGTGGAAATCCAGTTTCATGTATATTTTCTTTGGTAAACTGTGGAACGATCGAGTTTTCAACTTTCTTTTCCAGTTTAGGGGGGAGGAGTCGGACCTGCCGGAACGTTGGCTCGAAATGTATTGTCAAAGGGCGCATATCCGTAGGAAAGCAGCAAGAAGCAGCATTCAAATTTTGTCTCGTAGCTCACTCTCATGTTACTTCCCGCCGTCATGCGAGTGTAGATATACATATATATATATATATATATGCCGGTACAGAAACACTGTTCTATACCACTCTAAACCGTGCTGCGATAAATCAGTCCGTCAAGCCACACTTTGTTACAAACAGCTAGTTCTTATGACAAACTTAGCACAATCTTACAAGATTTTATCGCAGGGTCTTGCAAGAACTTACAAAATCTCGTTGTAAGAAAAATCTTATGAAATCTTATAAGATGCTTGAACTCAAGATTCTTCTGAAATCTTAGCTGTTATGAGTATCTTGTAACATGATTTTACAAGTTCATATTTAAGTATTCTTCGCCCTGGGCTATTCTCACAGTAACATATTCGAATAAATTAGAGTTCAACTTTAGACAAACCTAATTGATGTCCAGTCCATTTAATTATGATTGAATTACCATCTCTACCACTTAGTACAATTTCAACTTAAATGAAAAATAAAAGAGTATTTCATTAAATTGTCAAAGTGTTTGTCAAAAGTTATTTTAACTCAAAATCACACCCATATAATCGTTGACAATTTTTCAAAAACTCATGATTAACATCTTCCGAAACTTCTCACAACTTGACCGTTAATTAATTGCGTTTTGAAAAAGCGGAAAAAGTGACAGTCATTCAAACCTTCGCTAACTTAAGTTCTTAGGTTTTTGACGAAAAATTTCTCGAGCTCTTATTCAAACCTTGTTAATTTCTAAGATTAACCGATCACCATGTCATTTTGGCGGAATAGGAGAGATCTTAAATAATTTCACGGGTGGCAGTCTTTAAACTGGTTACGAGATGAAAAATACTAACGTCTTCTTTTAGATTGGGAAGCTGTTTTGAACTTGTTACGATTTCAAAACTGTGTTATGTTCTAGTATAGTATAGGGGAGGCTGTTTTGAACTCGTACGAGTTGGAAAACATGTTACGATTTCAAAATTGTGTTATGCTTTAACATACCATAGGGGAAACATGTTCATTAGGGCGGGACTGCTAGCGTAGGGGGAGGGGATGGCATGATGAGAGTGAATGGACATGAACACTACAGCACCAAGTTTTTAAACTCGTGCGGGTTGAACACAGTCTCCTCTATACTACATTAGAACATAACACAGTTTTGAGCTCATAACATGTTTTTCAACTCGTACGAGTTCAAAACAGCCAATACTAGATACACTTAAGCGTTTTTCCATCTTGTTACGAGTACGAATTTAACACGAAGTTAATAATCTATAAATTTACAGCAGAATTCAATCGCCGAAACGCAAAATGTGTCGGTAAAAACCATATAAATAATGAAGGGCACTGTTATGCTAGTCGTGGTTCTGCTTAATAGAACAAACTACACTACGATCTGGGTAGAACCTCCAATTTGTGGCTGCTCAAGTAGGCTCTTCTCTATGAGCTTGCA